GATATTTTACCGTATGCCCTCTATCTGATCATCTATTTCCACTGTACCCAGTGCGCCATAGAATGCACTTCGATATTTCCATCCACGACCGGTGGCTCCTCGCCCATCAATCTGGAAAAAAGCTTGCTTGCCCTTATTCATATCATTACCAGCTGTACTCACCGTTACAACAGCATAACCTCGAGAGGCGGCGAGATAGTCCTCATAGGCTATAGAAAACTCATCGGTAGCTTGTTGTGGACCCGGACCTGCGTAACTGTAAATTATTGCTATATGTGTCATACTACATGAGTCCGCATATTATTCATACATCTCTAGATTAGAATTATTTAGATTGGGTTTATTCGTGCAAAATCACAAGACAACTACGATTACAAAGGATTTGGAATATAGAATCAGGTTTTACAAAAGAACAACAACTAATGATTCAAATTATATTAAATTTACGTTTATAAACGAACCAGTGTCTACATTTGGCACCGATAGGGCAATCATCATCGTATATTCGCAATGGAAAAAAAAACGTTTGAGAAGGAAATGGCGCGCACAAATTCAATCAAGCTTATTGAATTCAAATCAACTGTTTCCGCAGGTGAGGAAGATAGCAAGCTTTTTAGGTTTTTAAAGATATCCTCTCCTAATTTTTTTCGTCACTAACAAGCGAACAGGTAGGAAAACATTTAAGCAAATGTCGATCGCCTCTTCCATAAGTTAAACATGCGATCGGCCTGTTCCTCGTTCGTGAATTCAAGCTCCTCTTATCCTATATATCTTCGATTTTCGCGCGGTATTGCCGTATTTATTGCAGGGAGCGACGTAAGAAACGATCAAAAATACAATAATTGATTAGCATAGTACTCAAAGGTTTGCGTAGAAACGGCATAAGTCCACATAATGAGAAAACAGACCTGCTGAAGTAGTTTCTCGGAACTTTTGCCTGAATAGATGAGAAATAGGAGAAACTTTTATGGGCCACCTTCTATCTTCTTCGTCTACAGAAACAGCTAAATTCTAGAACCGCACTTTATTTAAACCATCGCGAGAGCCTTGCCTATAAGAGTTTTTGCTAGCTTGTGTGTGAGATCGACCATACAATGCATAAAGACTAAGCACTGTTCGTAGGGAACTAGTTCGTAGGAAAAGCGCGGTTTTCAGCTCAAAAATCTCCTGCTAATTGGCATCTGATATATCATACTACAAGTACTATGACTCACACTATGATTAATTACCAAATCAAAGCAATGGAAGATTCAGCTTACACTTTTAGCAGAACAGGCAATGATCTGGAACTTGACCGGCTTGGCTGATCAGGAGGAAGTAAAATCTTTACAAGAGCTTCTAAAATCAAGATTAGAAGTGCTGGAGGATTTGAAATGAAGAAAAATTATAGAGCTCGGTAATTACCAAATCCTTGTTGCAGTGGATATGCCTCATTTATAACGTATGGTAACGCCACTTCACTTATCGCATCTTCATACTCCTCATTGACAAGAATTTGGGTCCCTAGAGTTTTTTCGTGTAATTTAGTTGATCTCGTGTGAAATTAGAACAAAGACTTTTCCTCCTACAATTTGCAATTTTCCCTTGAACAATATCGCCAAGATAATAGTGATGAGGAGCTGGTCCCTAAAACAATTTGTTAATGTTCGGAGTTTATTTTTGAGCTTCGACAACCTTGCAATGTATGACGACATGTTCGAAATTGGACTGTATTTTGTTTTCTTGATAAGTGCAGTTGGAAAATCTGCATGTTAGACATTTCCAGACATCATCTGTTACCTAGAGATGAGATTACAACGGCTTCACAGCAGAACCAAAGGATACAACAACTACCGGTGAGCCTTTTGTGGAATACAAATGTATGTTATTCGCCGTTGGAGCCATGGCTTGGAAGTAACTGGAAGAATAGATGGTGGATTCAAGGATGAATGAGGCAGAATAAAGGACTG